AGAGAGAGAGAGAGAGAGAGAGAGAGAGAGAGAGAGAGAGAGAGAGAGAGAGAGAGAGAGAGAGAGAGAGAGAGAGAGAGAGAGAGAGAGAGAGAGAGAGAGAGAGAGAGAGAGAGAGAGAGAGAGAGAGAGAGAGAGAGAGAGAGAAATTATTTTTAGTATTTAAAGCATGAGTGAACACCAATGAAAAGAGAGCAGTGGAACCATTTTGCCTGTTGACAGATCAAAAAGAGTAGGACATGGTTTTGGTGCACTAAAATATGTCTTGTGTACTGTGAGCAAAGCACAGGTTTGTTGCTTTGACTGGGCAGCATTTCTCAGATGTTCAGAGAGGCCCAACAGGACAGCTTATGTAGTCAAACACAGCAAACAGGTGAAATTATGTAACTGCTTTGAACAAATAAACATGCTGGTTGAGTGGGCTGGAAACAAACATGATCTGCACATTTGTAAGGCACATTAAAAACTCACCATCTGACAAAAACATGGCCCACTACCCTGCTCATTTACATACATCACTTTACCAAGATATAGTTATCAGGGTGGCTAACAGAACAAATCACAGCATCATTTTCCAGCAAGAGTTGATAAATGTTTTTGTTCATGAATCTTTATTATTGTTGTTGTCATGAGTAATCATAATTAATATTAATAGCTGTTATGGGGTGACAATTATTGTAACTTAAATATCTTATAGTTTAACATGAAAAAATGCAGGTGTAATGAATCAATTTTATTTATTAATTTCTTTGATGCATAAAAATGTGTAGCCAAATACATTTATCATGTTTGGTGTTCATTCTTCATCTTCATTAGAACTTTAATTAAACACTTAATATACACATCTTTCCTAAACTTTCTTTTTAAACTTTCGCTTCTTTCCTAAATTTAAGAAAAAAAAAAGAAAAGAAAAGTCAGGTCTTTTATACATGATACAAAAATACACGGATGATGAACATTAACTGTAAACAGAGAAAGATGGCTGCCAAGAGAAGGATATACTCCTAGGAAGTGTAAATATTTTACATATATTTACATCATTTATATATACACACACGGACACATTTCAAAAGTATTCTCAAATTACGTTTCAGTAACCACTAAAGTCACATTACAAGTTATTCAGTGTATGCAAAGTTGCTCGAAAGTAGCTAATGGACAAGAGAACCATAGAATTCAAGGGATTTCTGTTCACTATCAGCGGGAAAATTAACCAAACTGTACTTTAATTTTATTGTAGATTTATATATCATAAATATGAAAAATAATGACTGCCGTTTAAAATGCTAGATGCAGGAAAAAGGGCCTTGACACACAAGTCCTGATATAATTCGCAAACTGGTTAGAACTAATCAGGAATTTATATTAAAAAATTAATTAATTAGAATCCAAACTTTTTTGGAGGCATTTCTAATAGCTTAGCATTACATGCAGCCTCTTCATTAAGGTTCATGCGATGTGGATGTTGTATAAGCCATTGCACGGGCCTTTAAATACAGTAATGGGGGGCTTATTGGCCACCTGTTACCTAACCATGCTTAGGACTGCAAGGCTGAAGGAGGTTAATTATAGTTGATCCTTGGGAAATGACACTGCCCATGCCATTTATTTCTTCCCATTTCCAAAGTCATTCAATAGCTGATACGTTAAATTTCAGTAGTATTACCAGTAAGAGGTCATATAACCCTAATAAAGACATTTGAAGAGTGAGCTACATTGATGCACTGTAATGTCATATTTGCACACCGATAGGTCGAAATTTTGATGGTCTGTATAAAACCTGTTTGGCTCAGTCTGTACTTCAAGCAAGTTATATTTCAGTCTTTCTTATTAAAGAAACCCGATGATCTAGAACTGCTACAATATGGTGTATATCGCACAGTGAAGTGTTCATAAACAAGAGGATCTGTGATTACTCAATCTACTGAAGCCTGCGTTGATACAAAGCTCAACCTATTCAATAGCTTTGCGACAATGCACGATGTTTGGCGAAATATTCCGAGTGTGTTCCGATCCACTCGGTCACTTACTTTCAGTGATCTTCTGCAATCCCAGCACATCCTCCGGGGTGATCGTTTTGTTCGCAAGCAGTTCCTCCTCTGTGGTGACGGGGACCCCGACGTCTGTCGTGTTAAAGCCCTTCTTGACTTTCATGGCCTCGGATAAATCAGGGTTCGAGTTCGCTTTGCTGCCGCGGATGCTGTGGCGGTTATTGCCGTTGCCGGTGTCTCCGCTGCTGCAACTACCGGGATTAACGCCGCCGGACTTCTTAGAGCACGATGGGTCCTGGCTGTTGCCTGTGCTGGTACAAGAATAGCTCATTATCCGTTCCTCCTCCACCACCCCCCTGCTCCCCCGGTCTAGAAAAGACACAAAACAGTCACCCTCCCGCACCCGAAGAGCTGAACAGGTCGCCCGTTTAGAAGTATTTAAATCCTCCTGTTCTCCGCTCAATCTGAACCTCTCTCGCGCTACAGCTGAGGGACGTACTACTGCGCGGCACGAGGGGGTCGCCTGCAGTTCAGTGGCGCACGGTGACAACAGATGACACCGTTTGACTGATAAAAAAAAGACTGCTTTGAGTTCAGCGCGTTGTATTTCTAAGGAAATAGTTTTTAATAAAATCAGTCGTCGAGCCTGGACTGAACTGGTCATTCTAGCATGTAGTGTGCGCCGGATATCTGTTTTGAATGATCCCGTTTGTCGTGTGGTATGATCCAAATTGATTCGTGAATGGTGTGAAGGTGTATTAATTCAGCACAACCCCCAGCAGATATGAGAAATTGTAACGCCAATATTATTATTTAAAATAAAAATAAAACTTATATAGCTGTATATACGTTTTTGTTTTTTTTTTACTTTAAATCTAATTTCAGGCTGCATTGACATGTGCTGTGAAAGTCTTTGATTCGAATTTTGATTCAAAACTCTTAAAAAGAAAGGTTCCATTAAGGGTTTTACGCAGCAATGCCAGTGAAGAACCATTTTTGGGTTTCCCACAGAACGTTTCAGTGAACGGTTCTTAAAATAGCCTTAAATAATCAAATTAAATCATCTTTTGCCACCATAAAGTACTTTTTGTGCAATAAAAGGTTCTTGATGGAACCATATATGCCAATAAACAACCTGAATTTAGTGAAGTTATGACAGTCCACAAGAGGACGCTACACGACAGTAGGCTACAACAACAAAAAATAACCTAAACGTTGATATAAACGATATCAACATTTCATTTCATTGATACCAGAGAATGAGACACTGATTTCTTAACACTATGAAGAAAAAAACCCTAACCCTAACTCGAGCAATTCATCAAATAATGCATCTTCGAATAATTCAAAGAACTCCCTTTTAACCAATATAGTTGTGCTTACTGGTATAATAGCCTGGTATATTACAGCTGTTGTTGTTATGATACAAAACTAAGATGGAATCAAACCTTTATAGCTTAAAAGACAGAACAAAGGCATAAATAAATGTCATCAGCAACACGTTTATGTTACAGTAATGTTCATGGTGAGTTTATTAATAATATGGCTGAGAGTGTATGTTTGTAGAAGAGGACACACTCATTTCATCTCACAGGCCTGCTGAGCTGGCTTGTCTCTTTGTCATCACGGTGTGGCTGCTCTCATCAGCAGAAATCCACACACACACACATGCACATACAGACATTTTTACACACAACCAGAACTACATTTGACACACACACTCACACAGAGCTTAACAGATACACACGTCATACACATTCGACACACACGCCTCCACCCTGGACAACAATGTGCTGACTGCAGTCTGTGTAAGGCCATTGTTTTGCAAAGAGACCTGGGTCGAGGTTGTGGGCTGAGCATCAGAAGTCATTTCACAATGAACGCTAAAGCTGTTCAGTTAATTTCAAATCACACGGACTGAAATGTTCAGGTCTATACATTGACATAAAAAAGATATTTGGAGTACGTTTTACAAGAAAACTCCATTTTAGTCATTCTACTTCCGAATTTCACACTAATTCAATGCCGTTCCTTTGCAATTATTTGTGAAATTAACCAGCAGTCGAGTGAAAATTGTTTCAAAGTAAATCCTACACCTATTTGTTTTCAGTATATGTGCATCTTTCAATGTAAATGTCCTATGGTACATAGTTTTTCTAAAAACCCATGTATTGTTCCTGAATTTGATATAAGTTGCAATTGAACACAGTAGTTTTTAGACATTTAAACTGCTGTAATGTTAAATTTGTCGGCATTTGAGCTCAACCAGTATCCGCTTCATTGATTTGGAAAACACACTGATTCACATTAGCATCTGCATTGCAATGTTTTTCCATTTATGGGTCAGAAACTCATCCGCGTTACTCATTGCATTGTCAATGCATCTCAGGCATCAACAAATAAAACATTTGTATTATGTGAAAACCAATATATTTCAGTGCTATTTTGAATAGATTTTTTCCCTTATAAAGTCTGTAAAATACCAAATACTGTCGCAAAGACGTCTTCAATTCACATTTGAAAGGCCTGAAATGAAAATCTCGAGTTATAGTATATAACCTTTTATGTAATTCACATAAATATGACCTAAAATCACATATTAGTATACAGTGCTACCTTTATAGTGTAAAAGTGAGTTGATCATCAGGTAGTGGAACATGAGAGGCCATGCAGCTCCATGGCCGCTCATTGGTGGAGATCAGTTCATTGTAAAGAGCATGCGGAGGAAATAAAGGACTACAGTTGAGGTCAGAAACAAAAGGCATCCAAAGCAAAATGCTGACAGCAGCCGGGGTCTGTGAATCAGGGAGCCCCATTGAAGCGGCGTCTGTATAAATAGCCCCACAGATGCCTGAGCAGGAGACCGCGTGGTGGATTCCCCTCAACGCATACAGCTCATTCTATTGGGTAAGTCTGGTAAACCCTGTACCTCTGCCAACTTTAAACCAGATTAAACAAGCCTGGAACACCATAGTGAGCATTACATATACAGAATGATAAATCAAACAACGATCCACTGATACAATCAGACATGCTAATTATAATTATGATAGAGGAGATAATTATGATTCAACAAGGTATTTGAACAAGACTGACCTGATGTGCATTAGACTGTAATATAAGCCACTCTGTTTAATTGATCCAACAATGTTCAGGCTTGTTGCACAAAGATGTTATGAAGAAAAAAAAAGCACTTGTACTGTTTTTTTTCACAGTATGACAGGTAAGTGAAAGTAGAAATGTATGAAAACTGTTCATCATGTATGGCATTTTAGGGATGTTATACAGCGATGAACTCTTCTGAGATGATGTCTGATTCTTTGCATGCAGGTCAGTCAGCGCTGAGATATCTGAAACAATGGCTCTGACAAACCCTATGTCAATGCCCATGGGACCATGGAAGGTACAGTGATTTTATTTCTTTTTTTTAGAAGAAGAAAAAATATTTTATTTTTATTTCATTTAATATTTAATTCATTGTTTTTATTTTGTCACTTATGCTCACCAATGCTACATTTATTTGATCAAAAATGCAAATAATATTGTGAAATATTATTAAAAAATTTAAAACAACTGTTTTCTATTTGAATATATTTTAAACTGTAATTTTAAAACTGTAATTTTATTCCTGTGATATCAATGCTGAATTTTCAGCAGCCAACAGTACCATTAATACATAAATAAATAAATAATCTCATTTTCCACAAAAATATTAAGGAGCAAAAACTGTTTTCAGTATTGATAATAATAAAAATTTATTCAATTTTAAATTAATTAAAATTATTAATATTTGAGCAGCAAATCAGCATATTAGAATAATTTCTGAAGGATCATATGACACTGAAGACTGGAGTAATGACGCTGAAAATTCAGCTTTGACATCACAGGTATAAATTATATTATAAAATACATTCAGATAGAAAACAGTTTTTTCAAATGGTAATCATATTTCACAATATTAGTTTTACTGTATTTTTGATCAAATAAATGCAGCCTTGGTGAGCATAAGAGACTTCTTCCAAAAACCTTAATTATTCCTAACTTTTGACTGTTGATGTATGAATTTATTTTGAATTAAAGTAAAAAAAATAAATAATTTTAAATAATTTAAAACAAATTTTAACACGTAAATAACAGGTAAATTTGTCCCCCGCACTTTATTTCGGGCAAGTGTGTTCACATAGAGGTTTTCAAGGGTTTTTCAATTTCAGTTTTTCAAGTTATATCCAGGTAATAAATGAAGTATATGAATAATGCAGTGCTAATTGACATTGCATCTATTACAGTATAGAAACTATTCTGCCTTACTCTGTGATAAAAATGGAAAAAATGGGTTTGTAGTATATAAACACAAATCATAAAACTGTCAAAAGGAAAATATTTTTTAAAAATTAAAAAAAATATTATAGAATATAAATTATTGGTTATTGTCCTGCAGTGTATTTGATTTCTTTGCCAATTAAAATAAATAAGAGAAAAATAAAACTTGTCAATTAAAAAAAAAAAAAGTATTACTACATTTCTGTCCCCCTGACTCCTGAAAAGATGGCTACGCCCCTGGATATCTGTGTGTATTTACACATCTCTTTCTTTTTCAGATTACTGTTTATGATCAGGAGCATTTCCAGGGCAGGCGTTGTGAATTCACCGCTTGCTGCCAGAACATCATGGAGTACGGAATGGAGACTGTCCGCTCCCTGAAGGTGGAGTGTGGCGTGTGAGTAAAAGCAAGCATCTTTGATTACCTGAGTAAATCTCTCTTCCTCTTTCCAGCCCCATCTCCTAATGGTTTCTTCTGACTCTAGCTGGGTAGGTTTTGAGCACTCTACCGTCAATGGCCAGCAGTTCATCCTGGAGAAGGGAGATTACCCTTGCTGGGAGGCCTGGAGTGGCAGCAATGCCTATCGCATTGAGAGGCTGATGTCCTTCTGCCCCATCTATTCTGCTGTGAGTGAGACCATCTGCAGCAGAGACACACAATACACCCACCAACAGACTCTCTGATCATCACTATTTCTCAACACATTTACATTTTTCATAGTTGTAGATACATGGCATTAAATTGAGTTGAGAATAAATTGAATTTGAATTGAGCTAGTAAAAAAAATTGCAAAAAGCATAACTGAAATAGAATTAATAATCAGAAATATTAGAAATATAAATCTAAAATATTTGTTAAAAAAGCAGTAAATCATAATAACAAAATGTATATGAAAATGTAAATATACTAATAATCAATGTTTGAAAAGCTACATTTATGTATTTATTTATTTGCTTACACGTTTCATACACCAGGGGTAT